ATATTTATTCACAGTGCCAAGTATCATCAAAGAATATTTCAAAAATAGTGAATTTAGATTTGAAGAAGAAATTAGTATTACAAAATCAACATTTGAAACTGAAACAATGCTCTTAACGCTTGTACCTTATTCGAAATTGAATGAATTTGATTTGAATTCATGTACCAAAGTAATGGTTGTTGGTTTTTTAGTTCTGACCAGTTTACAAGGTTTTATTTTCCAAATCGATAGCAAAAAGCTGCAATTTCAAAAACAGGATCCAAATACTGAAGAACAAACTGAAAAGCATGATGAAGAGAATTCATCCAATAAGAGAAAAAGAAATAATAGCAAAGAAACAGGATCAAAGAAAAGAAAAGTTTCAACAATCACCAAAGAAATTAATTATTCTGACAATTTGAAAGAAATACTTCAAGAATATGACATTAATGGTAAAACAGCTACGAAAATAAGAAATGATGATAAGGTAGCTCTTTATTTTAAACTTGATAGTGGGTTTTTAAAGATAGTTCACTATTTTGATAATAGTTCAGAGAATGTGAAAGGCATGCAAAGTATCAAATCCATTCAACATGACAATATTAATCAGATTTTTCAATTCAAGAAACTCTCCATAACTATCTCACAATTAGATGAATTGTTTTTTGAAAGAATTTCACTTACAACCAAATCAGAACCAACAATATTTGTAACATTTTCACAATTTGTTGGTGATATTATTACTTTCATTATTTACCTGAACCAAAATGATTTGAATACCAAATTATTATGTTTTATCAAGTTAATGATGGATGCTATTGAAGCAGTTAATATATTACATGAAAATAATATTATTCATTGTGATATTTCAATTAGAAATGTTGGCATGTTATTTACAAAACCTGTCATGACATCATATGCCAAAGAAAAAAGCTCAATATTGGAAGCATTGCCAAATGTTTCAAACTTTAATTTCATTTTGATTGATTTCAATCATTGTAAAGTGGAAGGACAAGAACAAGCTAAATGGAACATTTTTCCAGAATGTA